GGCGGGCCACCGTCGGTGGGGTCCACAAGCGGCGGCGGCGGCGGCGGCGATGGGGCAGCTTCCGAACCGCCGAGGCGGACGCCGACGAAGTGTTTCAGCTGCAACAGGAAGGTGGGTTTGACGGGTTTCAAGTGTAAGTGTGGAAGCATGTTCTGTGGTGTTCATAGATACCCAGAGAAGCACGAATGCCAGTTCGATTTCAAAGGAGCGGGAAGGGAGGCAATAGCGAAGGCGAATCCCGTTGTTAAGGCCGACAAAATGGATAAGATCTGAGGTTGTCTGGTAATCCGATGTTCTGAAATGTCTCTGTACGCTCTCTCGTGATTTCTGATAGGTTTTTTCTAGGGTTTGTTTGTAGGGAACACTAGGTCGGTTGCTTTGCTATGTGATTTGAATCATTTGGTAATATGACTGGTTGGTGGATTATTGTTCCGTAACAAGAACTTGCTTATCGAAGAATCGTGTTCTCTTTTGCTAGTTCTTAAACCGAGAGTTCGTCTGATGCAACTGCAGAACCGTGTGGACTGTGGTAGAGTTTTGTCAAGGAAATGCAATGAATGTCTGAAGATTGTAGATGGTGATTTCGAACGAATGTAGTGATGGTCTGAACTAGTAGAATCTCCGGTTTGTTGTCAGATGATCAGTCAGGTCAATGTTATATTAGGGCTTGGCCGAGGTCATGTGAAATCTCAAATCTTGCGGGTTTCTCGACTGAAGGCTGATTATACCCGTACTCGCAGAAAACCCGCAAGGGGAGAGGGATATAGAGTTAAGTGTGTGTGAGGGGGCGCATGAGGTTGGAGAGAGATCGGTAACTCGTCTGTTGGAAGCTGAGTCGAAGGGGGGCGGCTAGCTGATGATATCAAGGCCACGTTAGAAACGAAAACAAATTTCCGAGAGAGCTCACCTCGCTCGCCTTCGCCTCCGAAATCGACACCTTGTCGCTAGTCGTTGTCAAGTACGTCTTTCTTTTGACTCCCTCTTTTCTCGTGGCCTTACAACCTCGCCTCGCCATCTTGTCGTGATCTAGCCCTTTCCCCGATCGGATACCCCTCATGTATGTGAGCCCTCCCTACGCCCTTCGGGTACCCAAAGTTCAGCTATCTGACCGTCACGAGACCAAGATCGGGTAGGCCATTCGAGAAACCCGATCCATGCCTCCAGGTTATATAGATCTGCTGAAATTTGCCTGAGGATACATTTAGCCCATATAGATTGAGGAATTGTGATAATGAGTATGAAGGTTTCATTAAAGCTAAGTCGAATCCTTAAAATAGAACCCTAGGATTTATGTGGATGCACATCTCTTGCAGTATGAATGTATTGTGAGGGGGAAGAGAAGAGCTACTGATTCTTGGTATCCTTAAGAGGCACTGTATTATTTTTTTTATGTCCGGAACGGTTGTATCTGAATCGGTTTGGTTATTTTCGGTTTATTCTGGTTTATTCCCGGTTTAGCCTCACCTCAGACCGTTGTGGTCAAATTTCTACGTCACTGTAATTACTGATCGTGATTACAGTTAAAATTGAGATTGTAGATTCAGTTAAAATCGAGTTTATGGGAATAGATTCGGGATAGTCTTCTTCTTTAGTCACAAAACGTCTTTTAATAGATAGAATAGACGACCAACCTGAATCCCGTATCCATTGCTTTGAAATCGGGCATCTAAAATCTCGTATAATTGCTGTTAGGAAGCGTGTTAGTTATATCAATTTTGATATACATATTTTAGGGATATCAAATGGGTCGGTCCGTACGGGTCAGAACGGCCCCTTCTATTTCTTCATAGTTAACATTTTTTATTTTTTATTGCATTAATTTTTTTTAAAAAAACTAAATCGTCTTTTCGGACCGGTATGAAGGCCGATTTAACTCCAATTAAAAACTCGAATTTTTTCGGACTGAAAAATTTAGATCCGAAATCCAATTTCGAGCCTAAATCGACTCCCCTAATATATTTATCAATATTGTCATCAATAAAAATAATGAAATATGGGTGTAATATATATGTCCTTGTTTCGGAGTTTGGACTTTTTGGTGTGACCGGAAAAAAATGTGGAAAAGAAATTCGATTTGGACATCCTAACATTCGGAGACGCCACCATTAAGCTCACATGTTAATATCATGCGAATATGATTTGGACATTTTATCATTTCATCCAACTTTGAAAAAAAAAATAAACCCTAAAAATAATTTATTGCTTTCTGCTTATATATCAAACCACTTTCAACCTGTTTTTGTGTTTTGTGACTTTTGCCGGCGTCTGATCCGACCTGTTATTGTTATCGGCCTTTATTAAAAACATAAAGTCAGAACATGAAAAAAGAAATTCACTTTTGTATTCGAAAAAAATTATTTTTTTTTTCCAACTTGGTAAACTCGAGGGGGTCGAAGAGGTGTTAAATCGAATTGAATAACAAACAGAATCAGAATTTATTTAAAAATTAATAGGATATATATTTTTTGAAAGATCATATGAAATGTTTTTTTATGAAATAATATGTGAAAAAATCCTAAATAAATAAATGGTTACAGTTTCAAAAAATAAAAATACGAATTAAAACTAAAATTTCTATTCGTAGAAGAGACCCATCAGTCAATGAGAAAGTGATTGAGTTGAATAATTTTCTTCTTCGAAATAAAGCTGCAGAAAAGAAAATGATAAACGACATGAAAGTTTTCGTTTTCATGTTTTTATATCTCATTGTATTATTTGGTCTCTTATCGATGGATTCACTCATTTGCTATAATTTGATTCGGAAATTTGGTTAATTATAATGTGATATAAGAAATAATTAAATATCAATTAAAATAAACAAAAATTATAGCGAACTAGATTAATCTCGAGTAATGCATGGTAATTAGTAAAATATGGATTATATTAAGCAGGAGTGCTGAAGCTAATATGGCGTGGTTAGTATGGATGGTTTATTAAGTAAACATTTGAGCCTAATGGAAGTGTAAATATTGGTAGGAATATTTATTCCACATAAATATAATAGTGTATCCATATGCAAAAAATTGTTTTAATTAGTATAAAAAAAATTTGTATAACTTTTTTTTAATATATTTTATTTTTTACATATAATATTAAATTTTTATTTAAAACATTGCAACACATAAAACAAAGATAATAATTGTTTCACAATTTCGAATTTGACAAAAACATATATACTGAATTTAACCGAAGATCAATTAACATAAAAATAAACATAATTAAATATAATAATGAGGCTCGAAAGAAATTGATTGATGTCTTCTTTTGGCTCCTCCAAAATTTGAATGGGGAACTTTTCCTTGAGACAATTTTGCAAAATTACTTTTCTTTTGGGACCCCCCATTTTTCCTTTATCTTACCTTTTTCCCCCTTTTCTTTTTTCATTCTCATCTCACTGCCAAAGCTTTTCTAGTCCAACAACTTTTGTTTTGTTAATATAATTACGCTTTCCAATTGGTTCAAATTATTCCATTTTTAACCAAGCTGTCCCTATCTATTGAGATATTGGCTCTTTTCACCCCCCGCCCAAATGCTATTTGTAATAATAATTTATAAAAATATATGAGATATTAACATTTTCAAATAAATAAATATATGATTTTTGAGGAATAGTTGTCGATACTAACATTTCATATATTTTTATAATATATATAACATGTAATCTACCTAAAATAAAATGTATTTATGCATTCTCTCTCTATATATAAATAAAATTTGGTATGAATATGATATGGAAATAGAGATAGCTAACATTGAAAAATAAATTATAGGAATACAAATTTGGAATAATATAATCAAATATAAGTCACGCACGGCTCACATCTCCCGTGACGGGGTGGCTGTGTGTGTGTTAATGAGGTAATTTCCGGGACCCACAAGGGCTTTTACGTCAAACCAGAGTTTAACGGGGATGAATGCAATGGGACCGACCATTTCAGCGTATGTTTTAACGGCGTCACGCTTCACCCGATTCCCTCCACTTCACTGCTACGGCAACTCTCTCTCTCTCTCTCTCTCTCTCTCTCTCTCTCTCTGCAATTTTCCCGAGAAAACAAACAGGAAAAAGGAGGAGAAAAAGAGAGAATTTTCTCGGGAACCAAACGGAGCGAAAACAGGAGAAGCTTCTTTGTTTCCATCTGGGAATTTCCCTTGTCTTTCTCCTTTGTTCTTATTCGTTGTAGAAGGATGGCAACAATTGCAGGGAATTACAGAAATGGGACGCACAAGAGCACCCTCAGAACTCAGTCTTCTGGTTCTAGCTCCGGAGTGAAACCCTCCGCTAAATCGAAGCCGGTGCTCCGGAAGAGCAGCCCGGCGGCGCTCGGTGGTGCGGCGGCGTCTAAGGCCGGCGGCGACGCTGGAGGTAAAATGCTATGCAATCTAATCGATTTTCCCCCAAAAATTCGAATGTTCGGTGGATTTTTTTCTTTCGAAATAGTGAATAAGCTACTCACTTATCATGATATGGCTGAATTATATTGCTTTTGGCTTTTTGGTTTGAATGGTGATCATTATTTTAATTATGATTTAGTTCCTGGGAGAGTTCGAGTAGCCGTGAGATTACGGCCGCGAAACGCCGAGGAACTCGCCGCCGATGCTGATTTTGCCGATTGCGTTGAATTACAACCGGAGGTACTGTGATTTCCAAGCTCAAGTTTTTGAAATTCTTGCTCTCTGTAATTTTAATGGCGGTGTTTAACCATGTGTATGTATATGTTTGATTCGCCAGCTTAAGAGGCTGAAACTGCGGAAGAACAATTGGGATACGGATACATATGAGTTTGATGAAGTCTTAACTGAGTATGCTTCACAGAAGCGTGTTTACGAAGTTGTGGCTAAACCAGTTGTGGAGGTATAGATGCACATTTGAAATGAACCCTTTAATCCTTATTGGTTAATTGTTCATGATCAGTATCTGGAGCTTGATTTCTCGTTGAAATGCCCTTAGATGTTTTCATGTTCTTTCCGTGTTTAGGGTGTTTTGGATGGATACAACGGGACAATAATGGCGTATGGACAAACCGGTACTGGTAAGACATACACACTTGGTCGATTAGGAGAAGAAGATGCAGCTGATCGGGGAATAATGGTACGTGCAATGGAGGACATCTTGGCAGAAGTGTCTTTGGAGACAGATTCTCTTTCTGTCTCCTATTTGCAGGTGGTTATGTTTCTGGATACTGTAATTGGCTAGTATGTTAGATTTCCTATGGGTTTTAGGGGACAGTGTTTTAATGTAGTATTCTGAATGTGGTTGCAGCTTTATATGGAGACGATACAGGACCTTCTTGATCCATCTAACGATAACATTTCCATAGTTGAAGAGCCAAAAACCGGAGATGTTTCTCTCCCGGGTGCTACTGTTGTTGAAATTAGAGACAGACAAAGCTTCTTTGAACTTCTGAGATTAGGAGAAGCTCACCGGTTTGCAGCTAACACCAAATTGAACACCGAGTCATCTCGTAGTCATGCTATATTAATGGTGAACTTTAATGGTCCGATTCGTTGTTGGGTGAAACTTGTTTGTTTGGTGTGAATGCAAATTCATCTATGCATCGATATTGCAGGTACAAGTAAAGCGATCATTGAGAACAAGAGATACTCTTTCAAATGAAAGTAGTGGAAACTCTCATACTTCCAAATCTCTTAAACCTCCAGTTGTTCGGAAGGGAAAATTAGTTGTGGTGGACCTTGCTGGCTCAGAGCGTATTGATAAATCAGGTGAACATTCTCACCAAATGGACTTGAAAAGGGTATCTGTTCCCATACCCGTCTAGGCAATAGTAAAAATCGGATTTTACATTATAATATGGGTTTGAAGCTAAGGTTTAGGTTTTCTATCCAAGCTGAACTCATACTTGTTCATTTGTCATACAGGAAGCGAGGGACATACACTAGAGGAAGCCAAATCTATTAATCTATCTTTGAGCGCATTAGGGAAGTGCATCAATGCATTAGCTGAGAACAGTGCCCATGTTCCATTTCGCGATTCAAAGCTAACCAGATTGCTTCGAGATTCATTTGGAGGCAAGTTGGTCACTGTTTTTTTCTCTCACACAAATAAGGTTTCATCTGAATTTTATAACATTTTCACTATCTTAATGAGCTGTCATTAGTCAGTCCTTGTTCGATAACCTTCGAATTCTACTATGCTGATTTGCTTGACATGTGGTCTACAATCTTACAGGCACTGCAAGGACCTCTTTAGTTATTACAATTGGTCCTTCCCCACGACATCGAGGGGAGACATCAAGCACCATAATGTTTGGGCAGAGGGTAGGACCCCATAGCTGTGGACTTCTTTAAATTGTTTAATTATTGCTTTGACCCTGTCGGTTGACAAGTCTCTTGGTGTTTCATTTCATTTTATTTGTATCATTCTTTGTTGTAAACATGTTGAAGTATTCCTTTGCTCAATCTTCAACATTTAACATAGAAGTTAGCTGCTTATACTCGTGGGCTCTTGATTTGACTATTTTCTATGGCTAACCTTCGTATTTCTCTTATTACATGTATAGGCTATGAAAGTGGAAAATATGGTGAAGTTAAAGGAAGAATTCGATTACAAAAGCTTGTCTAGAAGGCTTGAGATACAGCTAGACAATCTCATAGCAGAAAATGAAAGGCAGCAGAAAGATTTTGTGGATGAGATCGAGAAAATAACCATAGAAGCACAGAACCAAATTGCTGAAGCTGAAAGGAGATATGCCAATGCATTAAAGGTGAGAGTTCGTTTTATGACATGATGCAATGAGACAGTACCATGTGACTCAGATGTTGTTCTCTTTGGTCTACTGATTCAGTTTTTCATTATCTTTTTGCAGGAGGAAAAACTAAGGTATAAAAAAGATTGCATGGAATCAATGAAGGAGCTGGAGGAGAAATTTTCAATGAATCAACAAAAGCTGGCTGCAGAAAGACTTGCTCTCGGAGAGAAAAAAGGCATAGGCATCACATCAAATGGAAATGTAATGTTTCTTTATGTGCATAATCTTTCATTTACCTTGCAGCTAATCTCACCAAACCGAGCTTTATATTTCTTGCTCACAGAGATCGATAGCCCCATCCATTGAGGAAGTCTCTGAACTGAAAAAGTTGCTTCAGAAAGAAACTCAACTGAGGGTTGCGGCTGAAGAGGAAATCAATAGCCTAAAAATTCAACTCTCTGAATTGAAAAAAGCGGAAGTATATTCAGAAATCTTCCTTCTCAATTTTTTTCCTTTTTCTTTTGTTTTGGTTCATTTCTCCCATTCCATTTACTTATAGCTCTCTATTTCTTTATTCTGTAGGTATCAGGGAATTCTGAGATCTTTAAACTCTGCAAGATGTTGGAAAATGAGACACAGCAGAAAAAAATACTCGAAGGGGAAATCGCGATATTGCAAACTCAATTGCTGCAACTAAGTTTGAATGCTGATGAGGTACTTATCGTCAGATAGATTTTCGTGAAGATTACCTAAATATTAATCTTTTTTATCGAACATTTAAAGGGATTTTTTCTGAGGATGTCGTGTGTTACGCATTGCTTACATATACTGGCAGACAAGCAAAAACCTCGAGAAACATGGTTCAGTGAGAACTCCTGGTGCTGTAGATTCACTTGTGTCTCAGACAAGACTATTTCCTCATCTCCAAGACCCGGGAAATGGTGAGAAAGCCTCTGTAGCTAGACTCTTTGAACAAGGTATGTTCTAGGATTGCGTTGCTTGTTATGTATCAATTCATCAAGACATGTAAATGATTCCTTAGTAATTGTCTTTTCTCTATTTTTTTTCCTCTGACATACCAAATATTTCAAAGTGGGGCTGCAAAAGATCTTGTCCCTGCTTGAAGCAGAAGATACGGATGTGCGGATACATGCTGTCAAAGTGGTGGCAAATCTGGCTGCCGAAGGTTTCTTTCTGCTATCTTCATCCGTAGTAGCTTCCTATTTCATTCTCTTGCCTATTCTCTCAATCTCTCTCAAGATTGCAGTGGCTTTAATGTGATGTTATAATGCAAACTTTGCTGTTTGTGATGTGAAGCTTACCTAGAACTCAAACCACAGTAGCCAAATCAAGAATTTCACTATTCAGTTATTGCTAAATTTAGAACTGACAATATAGAAAATGAAGTCTTGCCTGAGAAATACTTAAAAATCCCTTTTGATTGCTCTACCATTTTGAGTCTCTGCTCTTGCCTTAAACTGTTTATTCTGTGATCACCAGAGGCAAATCAACAAAAAATCGTGGAAGCTGGAGGGCTTACGTCCTTGCTGATGCTTCTGAAAAGCTCTGAAGATGAGACCATCCACCGAGTTGCTGCTGGTGCCATCGCCAATCTCGCTATGAACGGTATAGTACTATATATATGCTACCGACTTCTGGCCAAAGACACTCTGGTTTTCACAAGTATCGTTTCATTCATCCAAGAAAAAAAAACAATTTTTGTTTGTTTTTTTCCTCAGAAACTAACCAGGAGATGATAATGGATCAAGGGGGAATCAGTTTGTTGTCTATGACAGCAGCCAACGCTCAAGACCCGCAAACCCTCCGAATGGTAGCTGGAGCAATTGCAAATCTATGTGGAAATGGTATTCTTCGACCTTCTTTCTCTTTCAACTGTATAATTCTGGAGAACCTCCCAATTGGAACCCTGTGTTAAAATGAACCTAAACCCGTAAGAGCCAATCTTCCTCGATCCAATCTTTCTCCTAGACACAGCTCTTCTCTAGAGGTGTTAGATTTCAGAGGACAGAAATCCCGTGAGCTGATCTGATTCAGTTTCTATTTAACGCAGATAAACTGCAAACAAAGCTAAGATCGGAGGGTGGCATTACGGCCTTACTGGGAATGGTCAGATGTGGACATCTTGATGTTCTTGCACAAGTTGCTCGTGGAATCGCTAACTTTGCCAAGTGCGAATCAAGGGGATCAACTCAAGGTAAGCAATGATTCCATAGGGAAAAGGGTTTACTTTCCTCAGCAAGCATCAAACCCTGAAAGAAAAGAAAAAATCTAATCCTTAAAAGGACTGGTTTGATTGATTACCAATAAAGTATTTCCTTAAAAAACTGTTTAAACAGGAACAAAAAGGGGGAAGTCTTTCTTGATAGAAGACGGAGCACTCTCTTGGATAGTACAGAACGCCAAGACCGAAGCTTCAACCATAAGGCGACATATCGAACTAGCTCTCTGCCACTTAGCTCAGCACGGTATACATGCATACATATATGTGGGAGGGTGATGCATATAGAATGGCGTTATGAAATGTGAAAATTCATGGTTGGAACTGAAACTATATGCAGAAGGAAACGCGAAAGAGATGGTGAAGGAAGGAGCGATATGGGAACTGGTGAGGATATCGAGAGAATGTTCGAGAGAAGACATAAGAAGTCTTGCTCATCGGACTCTGACTTCAAGTCCGGCCTTCCTCACCGAACTCAGACGCCTCCGGGTTGATCTCCGGTGAGCAATTTTTTTTTTTTACCTTTTCATGATCTTTAACAAAGAAGTTGCAGAATAGTGGGAGGATGATCATTTATGCTGTGGAGGTGTATATTTGATTTTGATGCCTTGTGTATTTATATAATATATATATATATATATATATATAATATAAATGTAGTAGGAGATGATGATGAAACAAGGGCTTGCAAAATCTTGTGCATTCAAATTTTTTAAAAAAAACAAAACAAAACCAAAGCTGATGGTTTTGTTCTCATGTTTCTTTTTTGTTCCTTTGTGAAATTTCGTTTTATTTTCTTCTGTTTCCGAATGTTATGTTTCGTGTACACGACGACAGGCGTCTCCCCTTTTTTTTTTCCTTTTTAATCTGATCCTTTTGGTAAATTACAGAGCTCGAATCTTTTCCCATCGCAGTTTGTATGAAGAAAAACGAAGTTAATAAGATTTATCGATACAATGTTTCTCATAACACAACCAAAAACAAAATCAGACAAAAAAAATTGAGAGAGAGAGAGAGAGAGGTTTCAGAGGTTTAATTTCAAACAGAATCTTCATCTCCCGACAGCCCAAATCAAACCTACAAGTTCAGAAGGATACATCTCTCTGCCATTAATTGCACGCACAAACATTGGGGGGGAAAAATCCATCCACTAAACCACAAAAACCTGCTTCAATCAACCAATTCTTTCAACTGTCTCTCCATCCATGGAGGAGATTAAACTGTGTCAACCTCAGTCCTCGTACCCATCCAGCGCCGAGTATATCATCCTACACCACGTTTAAAACACGATTATTTAGCCTCCGATCTAACGGAATTCAGCGATATATACATATATGTTTCGAGAGAGGTCGGGTATTTCACCAGAATATGGTGAGAAAGAGGATGAGGATTATGTATGCGAGTTTGAACAGCCGTTTCTTCTTTTCCCAGTTCAGCAAGTTGAAGATCTCTGTCACATCTATCAAGTGCTGCCCTTTCGAGTAACTTCCATTAAAAAAAAAGGGTCGGATCAGCCACTTAGAATATGTTCTCACACACATTTGGATCAAGAAACGAGACGGCGAAGACAATAACTTACAGTTGGTAATCGTAGTAGAGATAGGGTAGACACAAGAGTGTCATTAACCAATGTCCGGTCACGAGGTAGAATAAGCATAGAGTGCCTTGAACTATGAATTCCGGTAATACCACAAAGTTTATTCTTGAGGCAGAGTCGTAAGGGTTGATGTAATCGAACTCCAGATCAGCTAAGCAAACAAGCTGCCACGAAAAATTTCAGTTTCCGGTTGGTTAGTTCACCGCAACTTCAGCCTAGGGAGAGTTCATAAATGGAAATGAAGAAATTTCCGGTGTTGTACTCAAATCAATCACCGAGAACAAGTATTTATACATTGTAAACCGAATTAATCCGGAATAAACCGGATATAACATTCTAACAAGTCTTTTCCAAGACCAGAAAGTCGGTAGAGTAAGGCAAACAGCTTTTTGTCATTACAAGAACTAAATGTTTCTCCGACAAAGTTATCCCCGAAGGTCTTAACCATATTTCCCGAATCCCGAGTTCAGGAACCAATCAAGGATGGCTCCAAATTCCACATAACACAATTGGAAACCAACGACAGCAAATATGAAATGGGAATCAAGTAGGAAATGGCAATAGAGTATCAAAAAGAGATCCAACCCGGTTGTTTTCTCGATCTCATCAGCCTCATGTATCAGTTTAGACTCAACGACACGTCTCTTTCATTACTCTTATCACACAAACAAAACCTCGTTTATTAAGGAATCAACTATCTAACTACTAAGTTAGCTCTGGAAACCGTACAACTAGATTGACCTGAGATTGTAGAACACTCTTTATGCGTGTATATACCAAACAACTATGAGAACATGACACCGTTTTAACGAAACTAACAGTCTCATAGGCATTATACTGAACCCATGAAACAGTTTAAGGATCAAACCCAAAGGCTCGCAAATTGTTGCCACTTGAAGCCACAGCTAATTGAGTTACAGACATGTTGTATGGATCATCCCCCAAGAGCTCAAATACTAAAAACCATCGTTTCATTTGAATAAGAGACTACAATAAGAAATGGGTTCCAAGGATTTTGTTCATTCATCAACGGGCCTAGCTTATTACAGACCAAGAACAGGCAAACTTTCTCAAAAGAGCAGATGGAAATCAGCAGCAAATACGGTAAGAAAGTTGAAAGCTTTTTAGGGTTTTGTTCAGGAATCGGATCGAACCTGGTAAACGATGATTCCGACAAGGGCAATGAGGAAGAAGAAGGAAATCAACCATGTCCAGACATCTCCCATCCTCTTCCCTGACGCTCCGACACTTACCTCGGATCTATTCAGATTATCTTCCCTCCCCAAATTCCGTTTCTATGTTCGTAAAGTTCTTTTAGGAAATGAAATGAAAAACTGAGAGAGAGAATTCAGGGAAGAGAAACAGGGAAGAGTTTCGTGGTCGGAATCTTGAACTGAACCGTTCAGTTCGGTTTGTCTGTGTTTCAGAATCTGATCGGAAAGCCCTTGTAATTGTAAAGCACGAGACTTTCGGTTCTTGGATTTGACGGCTTGTCCCGGTTTAATAAAACCGAATTTCATAAATACATCATTTATAATATATACTAGTGGGCCTAAAAATATTGTGGATCACAAATAAGCCCCATTTTCCGGCATTCCGGTCGCTTCCCACGATCAGATGATCCAGTTGGAACGCTCGAAAATGATTCCGTGAGGCGGTTGATTGATGTCCGGAGGTGTTGAAATTGTTCAGCCATGGTGGTTTTGATCTAAGCAAGCTCGCCGCGGACGCGGTGGATATCCATGATGCGAAAGTTGATTGGAAAAACAATGAGCGGAGGAAATGAACCGATCGGTATATTGGGTTTGGCTTTCACTCCTGTACGAACCGATCGGTATGCGTCAGACCCGGTTCACTCCGCATATAAAGCTACGTAGCTACTCGCTTCATCGTCCCACACTGCGTCATCTTTGCTGATACTCGAGGGTCAAATTCATTCACAACCATGGAAGGAATCTTAAAGCATAATAATAATATAAACTAAACTTTCACCGTTCTTAACAGGAAGAGGAGATCTTGAAACACTTAAAGACATTGCCAGTTAGTTTTCATCTGCAGGATGAATCTCATCGTCACCTTCGGGTTTATCCTTTTTGTTTCTTCTTTCTTTCCTCTCGTTCCATCTCGCCCAAACCCACCTCAGGACAAGAAACCCTCCAAGCGCATACACCTGAAAAGGTTTTTCCGAACATCGATCCAAGTGTTTTCTTTTGTAAAATTATTAACATCATCAAAGAAAAAACAGAGAATTTAAAGAGGCAAAGGATGGAGAGAAATGCCCGAGCCATTCTATTCAAGCTCTTCATCGGTGTTTCTGATAGAGACCATGGCTAAACCATGAGGGCAGTGTACAACTCATAAGTAAAGTGCCTAACCTATCCAATCATTAAATGTAGTTAGCAAGCAGTTTTGAAAAAAAAAAGAAGAAGGGTCCTAGACAGTGATCGTATCGCATTCTCGAGCTGAAACTAAGTGAAAAAAGTCCGGTCTCTCTCTGCCAATGAAATAAAAAAAAAGGAACTACTTGGACTAAATGGAAAGTAGGGTAATTGGACAAGGAAGTAAAACGGTAGCTGTAACCATACCAAATGCAACGGAGAAAACTCCAATTAGGCAATTAGGCACCTGAAGTCACAAGCAGATGACCGCTACTTACATTTACATAGACTCTATAAGTCATGCTTCCAAGTTTCACACATATGACAGACAAAAAAAAAACATAATGCAAACAAGATCATAAAGAAATCCAAATCAGTTTCAGTGACTAAACCAAAAGAACAAAAAAAAAAAACAGTGAAGAAATAGGCAACAATCGGGCATTTGTAATCATAAGCAGCCTTTGGAGAAATGTATACCACACTACCACCATTACTCATCCTCAACATTCTCCTATCCGTACATCTAAGAAAACAAAAACATATCGGTGATACACCTCCTCATCACAAAGTTTGCATCTTTATCCAAAGCTTCAAATTCAATTGGATTAAACTCCTACCTTTTTCAGATCCCAGTTGGGTCTCTATATTTATAGCTGTGGGTGAGATAGGGATTAGCAATTCACATTCATAAAACATGAATCCACCAGCTTGAAAAGCTTACACATAAGAATCACAAATAACCCTCGAAATCTTGGCACCATCCTACAGTTTTTTATCCCCAAACATCCTCTGCAATGGTCTTCCTTTTCTTCTCAGAGACCTACCAATCAAACTATGGATAAAATACCAATTTCCACTCCACGGTGAAATGTCCTTGTCCAAAATATCGGGTTTTTTTTTTTGCCACAGCACAGGTTAAAATCAAATCTCAACCCTATCTCCTAAACCCTTAAATTCAAATCTGTTCCAAACAATTTGATTCCTTCCCTCAAAATTTTTTCCTACCAATCAAACAGAAAACCCTCCATTTTTACCTGCCAAAGAACCACAGAGTTCGAAGTCCTCCCGGAGCTAAACTCGGCCTCCGCCTCCAGTGGCTCCACAAACTTCGGATGCGAATACGGAAAAGACACTCTCGCAACACTCCGATCCTCGGCCTCTCCGCCACCGCCGCTTTCCGTCGTCTCGGGCTTCGCTAAATTGTCATCGGATTCGAGTTTTGGTTTGTGGTTCAGAAATGGGAATTTGAATTGGATTTTGGGGAAGAAGGACGGAGGGCTTTGGGGAGACATCGGATCGTGTTCCTCAGACGCAGCCATTTGAGGGTTTTAGCAGAATTTTTGCTCTCCTAGGGTTTTGGGTTTGATTCGGCAGCGGATAAACACCGAGAAACGAAGAAGCCGCTCGTGTGGCTCACTTAGCTCGTGTGGCGTTTATTTCCAATATTTTTGTGCTTTTTTGAAAATCTCAAATAAACGTGCCATTTGTTACTGATTTTAAAATTTGCAAAAACATACACAAACTCTCTCGAATTTAAATTTTAAACTCCAAAAAATTATAGGTTAAACAACGATTTCAAAAAACAATTTTTTATACATCTTTATAAAATTCATGATTTTAATTGTAATGTTTTTACAAATTTTTTATTTTATATATTAATCTGAGACTTCACATTTATTAATTATTTATATAAAAAATTTATCTCATTTTTCTGTTTTTGTATGCTTAAAAAACAAATACATGGGTCTGGTTCGATTAACGTCGTATCAGAACCTTAACACACACCTAAATCTAGTTTGGTTTTATTTCTTTATTAAAATTATCAAACCCATTTAAACCGAAACTATATCCTATAGAAAATATATCATTTTCGAAAATTTGATAATACAAAGATACAGGAGAAAACATGTAAAAGGATTCCTAAGTCTTAATCTTATTTGGCAAAAGAGGATAGAATTATTGGAAACTTTGTCGAATACTCTTAACTTCTTGGCCGTCCATGGTCCGATAAGTGACAAGAAATATCTATATTTTTTTTTCGCTGATGACGAGATTTTGTGGGAAATTTGTAGAATTTTGATATATATATATATATATATATTTATATATAAAATGGAAATGGTAAAGGAATTTCATTAAGATTTTATAGAAGAAAAATGAAAATTTAGAGTTTTTGTTTTGTTTTCCTGAATAGATTGCCAACGTTTTCTCTAGAATGTTTGAGCACGGACCACTACGTTCATGCTTTTTCTGTTTTTTTTTTCATGTTTTTATCTCCTCCCCTAAATTATAGAAAAAAAGTCCAATCATTCTCAAATTACATATTCTATAATATATATATATATATATGTGATAGTTTAAGATTTTTTAAATACTATAATTTTTGTTTTTTTAATTATTATTATTGTTATTTGATACTTTCGAATAGTAGTACAAACTTGAAATCTAAACCAATAAGGCAGCACTATATTCTATTTTAACAAATCAAAATAAAACCAAACCGAACCAAGTCTAAACCGGTAAAAACCGAGTCGGCCGTCCCACGAGATTTTTAATCCTCTTACCGCGAGGGCAAACGCAGATGCCCTCTCGTTCGATACTCCGACCGATCTGAAAGAAACCACCGAAGCAAAGTCGCGACTTTTAGCGTTTCCGATGTATCATCCGACCAGAGGCGGTGTTCGTGGCGGTCGAGATCGTAAGTTTCTTCTTCTCTCATCGGGCAGGATGTTGTGTTAGGGTTTTTTTTGTATCATCAATTCGATTTGGATTTTCCTGTCCTTAATCCAAGAAATTGCGGTGCCTGGAAAGATTTGAGATACGGGGAAATTTTGATTTCGGTTTTAAAATTAGGGTTCTAACTTTGCTTCTGCAAGGAAGTCGGTAGGCGAAGATTAAGAACCACTGCTACTATTTCTCTGCACGCTTCTTCGTTATGTGTGGCGGGGATATAATAAGGTTCACATTCATTTGTATCTGCGGTTTCTGGTGTTGTTGAATCCATCAAATATCGTGTGGATTTGGGTATAATCATATGAAACTGGGGCATAGTTGTAACCGATTGTGGTGATACGAGTTCTAAACTTAGAACATATCAATCTCAGGGTTCGGAGATTCCTTGTTCTCTCTGTTTTGATGTTTTGACTGCAAAATTCGAATGTTTACGTTGGAGCTGGACTGATGTTGTTTATAAGTGCAGAATTCAGTTGGGACGATGTGAAGGTTGATAAACATCGGGAGAACTATCTTGGTCACAGTGTCAAGGCCCCCGTTGGAAGATGGCAGAAAGGTAATAGCTTTATTCGTCTTCTTGATTACGAGGATGTGAATCGGTGATGAAGAGAATATACTTGATTCTTAAAGTAGACAGCACCCTGTTGCATAAATTAGAGAAACAAAATGGATTAAAACAGAAAAGTTTGTATATTTTCATCTGAGAATTTGTTTAAAGAGAAGCTTCCACTCTCTCCCTTACAACCTTTCCCAAGTGAAACACTGAGCCCGTCACCGGTTTTGCATCAAGTACTGTCGCTTATAACAAACCCTATAAGTCTGCATTATTCCTTGCATGATATGAGTGATATAACTTTTGGCATTTAGCTGATTCGGGTCTGGCTCAGCCTCTGAAGCTCGTAGGGTTCTCGTCACAGATGACGGTTCCTGTAGCTATCGGTTTTTCCCCCTCAAAAACCATGGGGTTATTCTGGTTGTGAAACAATTACTATTCATATTCTCTTTACTATCCTTTGGCATTGCATATTTGTGAAGGCTAATCACGTGGTTCGTATAGATTTTTGTCAATGGCTTCAGTTTGAAGTTGTCCGAATAGAGATTATTTCTTTTGTCAATATCATCAGGTTTTATAAGCTTACTGGACTGATAATCTTTGCGTGGATGAAATGAAACTGAACAGGTAAAGATCTTAACTGGTATGCTAGAGATAAACGAGGGGGGAGTTCCAATGAAGATGCCTTAAAAGAGGAGATAAAAAGAATAAAGGAAGAGGAGGAGCAGGCCATGAGGGAGGCACTTGGCTTGGCACCAAAGTCTTCAACCAGACCTCAAGGCAATCGCCTCGACAAGCACGAGCTTTCTGAACTTGTCAAGCGTGGCTCTACTGCCGAGGACGTCGGTTCAGGCCATGCTGAAGCTGCATGGGTTCACGGTGTTGGCTTTGCAAAGTATGTATTTTTCACCCACCCATGAATATCCCATTTGCGGTTTTTGATGGATCTTGACGGTTGTTTTGTTCACATTCGTGCAGAGCACCCCGCCCTTGGGAAGATCCCAAATCACTTCCATCCTTTGAGAAAGAAGAAGATCCGCCGGTAGTGTCGAAAACTGTTGGGAATGAACCCATCGATTCCGAGGGCGATGAGAAGAAGGGGAAACCCGAGAAGCGAGAAAAGCAAGACCGGCATGAAAGGCGTGAGAAACGTAAGAGGCATGAAAAGACACACTCTCGTGATTCGGATGGCCGGAAGAAACGCGAGAAAGACAAGGGAGGAAGGAAGCATAAGCGGCATGGTTCTGATTCGGGCTGAGAGTGTTCTGAATTACATTCACTTTCCGGAAGATCTTTCTCTATTCTGTCTAGTGATGTGAAAAACATATTATTTGCTTCCCTCGATCCGGTTTAGTATAAATGGTTTAGTTACTTTTGGATCCGGTTTGATGTATTGGGCAACGGGCCCACAAAGGCTTCTTGGGATATCTCAATTAAGTTTGGTTAATTATCTGTTTGATTAATTATGTTCCTACCGTATGCAATGTGACAGGTCCACCCGAACCGGGCGGTTTGAACCGCGGACCGCTGCTTGGGGTTTTGATTTTTGACTAATTTCCCATTAATATTTTAAAATTAATTTTTCTCCCCTTTAATTAAACCATCAAATAATTGTAACAAAACCATTATCGAAATATATGCATTTAAATCTATGTTATAAGCTTGTTTCTTTTACTTTGGATTTCATATTTCCCTATATATAGAATTGAAACTTGACATTAAGTTACTTACGATTTAAAATATTTGCATAATCAGAATGTATGATGCGATAGACTATAATAATGTACAATCAAAAACCCAAAAAAAGGTATCAAACCCAAGAATGAAACCAACGAGAAAATGCCAATATTTAACTTTTGACCCTCCAAAAACCCAAAAAGAAAACTATAATTAAAAACAAAAAAAACACCGCTAAATATTCATTTGGGATTATGATAAATTTTAATTACAATCTCTAAAACATGGCAAAAAAAACCCCATTAATTTAAACTCCTAAGGATATCTTTAGAGTCTCGTTGTCGTTTTCACACTTTTTGACCGTACAGTCGTCGTCTTCGTCGCCGTCACTGCAATGCTTGCAAACCACCTTGCACTTCACCACGCTTCCGTACACATAAAAACCGGGTTGAGCCATAACCTGAACCGAGTCCCCTACCGGACACCTAACCCGGTCTCTGCCAATTTCCTCCATGTAAACCGGATCGAACTGAACCCCTTTCTCCACCCGAAAGATCTGGAGGCCCGGGTTAACCGAGTTTGCCAGTAGGTGAACCAGCCACACACTCTTCGACGCTCCGAAGAAAGCCTGCAAAAACCAGAGTCCGGTTAGCTTATTCAAATAACCGAAGACGAATCCATTGAACCGGTCCGGTTAAGTGGATGATTTACCTGCAAGAGCGGGTCGG